AACAACTATAATTCCTACTGACCCGGCGTGTTTCTCAGAGCAGTGCCAGAACTGTCGACAATATTGCTACCCTGGGAAGCGGAGGAGACTGGCGCCTGCCCCATCATAGGCGGGATCTTTTATGTCCCTTTACGATTCCGACACTTGAACTGCGTGTGACCATACTGACCACACCGAATACAAGTTGCACGAGAGTAACGATCTCTCCACACGTCCTCAGTAAGCCCCGCTTTCTCCCATGGAGGAGCATTGGGGTCTTCTTGACTCTTTAACCGGAAACCTCCACGGCGTCTACCGGTCGCTTTACCTTTTTGAATTGAGGCAGCGACTGCTCCACCCCCTGAAGCTTTTGCGCTACCCGAATCTGACCTGACTCCCACTTGGAAGTCGTCGTCTAACTCTATGGTGGTACCATCGTTGTCGACGAACATTATGTGACCCTTCGCCTTCGAGTTAGGAGGCAATGCCTTTTTCCAACCATTCGTAGCGGGTTGGTGTCCATGCCCGATCTTTGCCTCTAGATCTAGGGCCTTCTCGCTGAACGAGGGGAAATTGTGGACTGTGATTATGGCCTCACTTGCCAACTGATTCTTGAGCTCTATGGGGAGACACCTTAGGTAAGTGGTAAGTAAGACCTGGGGGTCCTAGCACACTCCAGGAACACAGATTAGACGCTCTACCGCGTTCGTGGCATCCCTTACTGACCTCAACTTCCTTGGGCTCAGGGTCAATATCCCGTCGGTGGCCTTTTGAGCCTCCTGCAGGTCATGCCACTTGTCCTCCACCAGCTTGATGAAATCATCCAGTTTCTGGGTGACTGCCCAAGCGCGAAAGTCATAATCGTACCTTGTAGTTGAACATACCCGCTTAACCACCTCGCTGCACTCCCTTCCAGATAGGAGGCAGCCACAAGTACTTCTTCGTGAGGCAAGGTTAACTTGCACTTCACATAGAGTGGCATCGTCCTCAACCATGTGTCGAGGTCCTCACCCTTCTTATCTCTTGAGAAGGGTTTCGGTGATGTGATGGCAGTCTTTGGAACCCATTGTCCTTGTCTTGGTACCTGCACAACTCCAGGCTATGGGGCCTGGGGTGCAGGCTGCTGCACGTGCTGTTGTTGGGGCTGTGTGCCCTGCAATTGTGCTAGTTGTGAGATGGCAGGCTGCCCTGCTACGACAGTCTGCAACGGAGGTTGGGAGAACACTATTTGTACAGGAATCTGTACACTAGGACCTGTTGAGAACCTGCCTGTCAAAGGCATAACTAGATGGGAAGCGGTCTGTACCGTAGCTGGAGAAACAGTGTATGGGACTACTCTAGTTACCGGTGGGACAAAAGGAGGAGGTTGTACCACGGGCCAAGCACCTGGCCCAAATGGTGATGGTGTGACCTGAACTCACCCGACCAGCATGGTCAGGCTCCTCTGAATGTCTTGCAAGAGAGACATATGGTAGTCCTGCATCTCCACTACATCTAGCAGGCCTGTCCTAACGGTCCTTACATCGTCATCCATGTTTGTCAGGTCCATCTCCTCTAACTCCCCGATGTCCACTTGTCTCCACTGCATCCTAGATCTATGCCTGAACATTCTCTCTTCCTCTGCCTGTATCTCATCCAATGTATGTTGTAGTTGTGCCTCGCGGGCGCTTTCTCGCTGGATGGCGACCTCCTCAGGAGTTAACACTGCTTGTTGGCTTGCCATTACACCAGTGGACTAACTCTAGGTCTGTGTGGCGTTCGCCCCGACAGTCCCTGCACTACTGGCCTGGGAACTCTTCGGCACAGAGGTGGCCATGGTGGCTGCTGAGGTAGCTGCCTCCCTAGCGAAAGCTCTGCTTGCCTCTGCATCCCTCGCCAACCTCTGTTGTCGCTGCCTCTCCCTAGCCTAGCGGAACAGAAGACGGTCTCCCTCGGCTCCTAACGCTACGTGGACCAACGAGAGTCTACGGCTTGACGAACGCAAGATCTGATCGTCCGGTTCAGGGTTCTCCATGTCGCTCATATGCTATAGCACTGTACACTATCCGCACTCGGGTACACTCGGTTGCCTACCACAGCGTAGTGCTCAGACCGATTTAAAATAATAAAAATAATTAATCGGTGGCATTGTCAGAGGATACGCAATCAAAACAGCTTGACTAATTCACAAACAGCTTGACTATCCGCACTAAGTCCATATTCCTACAAACGAAGCTATTTTACTTGACTAATTCACAAACAAAAGCAATTAAGGGAGAACAAAAAGTTCTACCTATGTTGTCTGTCAGATGTGTCAATGGCTGTAACATCTAACTAATCAAAATAAAAATAGAATCATTTGTATGGCTGTTTGCAGAATGGAAGTGGAGTGTACACAAAGTTATCATATGGAATCTACCCCTCCCTCAATTCTTCTTGATGTCTCTTGACATCAGCGTTCCTGAGCAATCCAAACAGCTTGCGTGTCTAAAGGTGTGCACACGGTCCACCCCTGTGCCCCAAGTCAATGCAGCCCTGCACCATGTTTACCCTCATGTGCAGCGAGCCTTACACGACCGATTGACTGATCAAGAGGCAGTTTAAGGACGGCCCCCGAGGTCCTCAGGAATGATTTAACGTCGCAAACAGGATGACGATCACAGCCAATGGAAGGTAACCTGCCGGTAGTTATTTATAGACGTTCGGTTCTCGTCTCCCCTGTAGGGCTGGCCTGCCCCTCGTGACCTATCTATAGCGCAGTTGGCAGACAAAGGACAAAGCAGCAAAGGATGCGTGCTCTACTCCCGGTGGGTTGGCATGGTGACCGTGACCCAGTGCTTCGTCCAGGGCCCTTCAGATGGCAACGCCCTCTCCTTCCAGATGCTCCACGTGAACAATGCCAACTCTCAAGGTTGAGAGCACTTGACTCCTCACATGAGAGGACTCTCAAGACAGAACACACATCCTCACGGTAAGAAGTGTCGAAGAGGGTAGATAAAGTTAAGAGCAACGCACCTCAAAATAGCTGCCCCCAACCACAGATATTCTCACCAGATGACCTGAAGTCGATTGCGATGACCAATCATTGCCTTGGCACAACCAGCACTATACCTCTATTCCACCTCAGCATCAATCGGACATCAGATGGTTTTCATCACACTGTGAAACACCCAATATCACTACACAGCCTTCCTGGCGATACCCCTCTCCACCTGGGTCGCATGCTTGCCTATGCCCTCGTCACTGCACACTACCCACGGTCGCTCACCCAACTAACCGCGTGCATGCACCGCATAAGCAGAAGGCAAGCGCCAGATTAGCGCAACGTACCACAGCTCCGATACCAAAATGTAAGGAAAATGAGCGATAGCGAATTCTAGAAACCAAGCAGCATCATACACATCAAAGCAGATAGTCTTGACCTCAAACCAAAAGCAGAATTGCAGCTCGAGTTCCACCATAATAGCGCACAGCAAAGATCACAAATGACAATGTTAGAGTAGTCTCGTCATCATCATCAATGAATCAATGTCGATTCCCTATCTGGCACTCAGCTCCCAGACTACAAATGGCAGATCCTATCTAGCCTATCTACAATGTCGCTGGTGACGTCAACAGCTCCCCGAAGTATGAGCAGATCTCGGCCAGTGCCATTCGCATCAAGCACCAGGTATGTCCCTCGCTTCACTCACAACCTCGATCCCTCCACACAGATGCCACATGCAACCAAAGACCACCATGCGCCCCATCCAGCAATGCGCAGGCCAGCTCGGCTATGGCTGCCTGCTTCTTCCCCGCTCGCCCGTGAGCGCGTAGGCACTCGCTTCAGCAGCTGGCGCAGCCGCGCTTGCGCATAAGCAGCGGGTGCCCGAATGTCCAGCCAGCAGCCAGGCCCTTTGCTTTATGGAATGAGGCTGCCTGTTGCATACTGTAACGTGCAGACCAGAACAAGAACCGACCTCTCAATGCAAAGTACAAGATGGCGCAAACGGAAGACTTAGATACCAATGATCCGATCAATCAATGTTGCAATGCAGTCCAGAACATACATCATCCTCATCATCCCAGAGTGTGAAAGGGGTCTGGGGCTTCACACAGGAAGACTACGCCAGCCCCACACATACACACACGAAGATGAGGGGGGGTTAGACGAAGAGGAGGGGAAGATGGGAATGTCGTCAACACCAAGTCTTCGGCACAGGCCCAAATAGTCCCTCGTCAAAATGTCTGAATCCCAAATGTCGAGTCTGTATCCAATGTCGTCAAGTCTCAGGTCATATCTCTCTCCCGTAGTCCACAGATACTGAGAAGTAGGCAGCAACAGGGGAAGAAGAGATGGTGGACTTAGAAGAGGAAGAAGAAGAACTCTCTCTCTCCCTCAGTCCAGTACTAACCTGTGAAGCTGGCGCCTTTGTGCAGGTACCTCGAAGATGGAGCTGGAGCGATGGCGCCACAGGTAAGTATTACTGGCCTCCGCCAGTCATCTCTCTCCTATATCACTACTACTACCCTATAGCGCCCAGCGCTGAAGACTACAGCTATGGCGCCCAGCGCTGAAGACTACCACTAGCGCTATCTGCCCTGAGCAGCGCTCCTCCTGAGTGCTGCTCCGCTATCCTGAAGAMTACACCTGACTACTGTCTGACTACCTACCCGGGAAGTGCATGGGAACTGCCTATGTACTACCGGGTGCCTCCTGACTGCAGGCGAGCAGTCCAGGAGGCTGCTCTTGCCAATGCCGATCGGAGGCAGGGGCTGCCGCTGCAGCTCCTGCTCAAGCTCGTGAGGAACAGGCTATTCATGGCCTGTTCCGCATCCCTGTTTACGTGCCTGAGTCTTAGGGGCGGTCGAAACAATGAGGGCCTGAAAAAGGCCCTCCGTTTCAGGCTGGAAAAACTCTGGGTCTAAAAGACCCAGAAATAGGCTGAAACGGAGTAGGGCCTGCAGGCCCTCGTTTTTCAGCTTTCAAGCTGAAACGACCGGGGCCTGTAAGCCCTAAGTTTTAGGCTTTTAGGCTGAATGTCCGGGACGGGCCCTGCAGGGCCCATGTGGCTACGCAGTATGCCACACCCCCCCCTCCTTGAAAGACCGAGCTTACCTGCGAGGGCGAAGCTATCTGTCTGAGGGAGGGACCACAGTCCGGGTGGGAGGGGCTGGTCGTGAAGCTTCCTGAGCTAATCTCCGCTTTTCATAATGCGCGTAGATGAGCAGTGGGGATGCTTTCAAATATGCGTCTGGAATCCACCGAGTGTCGTCGCGATCGCATGCTTTGAATGTGACTTTATACTGCCGCGGCTTGCTGTCGTACTTGCGATCGGTGATGACACGGTCAACTTCTTGATGAGCATCCATAGGAGGGTCCTGCGATCGTCGGCCGAGAAAGTCGTCGCTCTTGGCTGGCGTGTAAGTTGCCAGCTTCGAGGCATGAAAGACTGGATGGACCGTCAGATGCTCTGGAATGTTGATCACAAATGAAGGGCCATCGGGCTCATCGACCGCGGCTGCTGTCACAGACCATGGTCCAAACCACTTGGGAAGYAGTTTGCGTGAAACATCCTGTTCCAGTGCAAACTCTTCCGCRGAGACCCAAACCAGATCACCGGCGCGGATAGGACATGGCACGCGACGCCTGTTGGCTTGCTGCTGCATGCGGACTTGAGCCTTTTGCATGTTCGTGCGGGCTTGAGTCAACAATTCCCTGTACTTTCGAACGGAAGCAGGGGAGCAAGCGGCGTCGATGTCGGCTGGTCGAGGGAGGAGAAGGTTGGCGAAGATACGGCCTTTCCGTCCACCGTGGTGCAACTCGAATGGAGTCACGCTGATTGCCGGGTGCACCAAAGTGTTGTAGGCGAACTCGATGTCGGGGAGGCGGTCAACCCAATCTTTCTGGTCCGGACGGATGAGCGTACGAAGCATCATTTGAGCGGTTTGATGTGCCCGCTCCGTCTGCCCGTCTGTCTGTGGATGCCGAGCCGAACTTGGTTTCATCATCGTGCCGGACTCCTGCATGAGAGCAGTCCAAAATGCTGACATGAAATGAGTATCGCGGTCACTGACAATGTCTTCTGGTACACCGTAGCCACAAATCCAACCAGTGTGCAAGAGGCGTGTCAGCTCGGGAGCCGTGGAGTAGTACTTGCAAGGGAGAAAACGCGCGTACTTACTCAATCGGTCCACAACCGTGAGGATGCCGTCGTGCCCGAGACAAGCGCGAGGAAATGGACCAGTGACGTCCATAGCAATGGAGAGACCGGGTTCCCGTGGAATAGGCATCGGGTGTAACTCGCCATAGGGATTGCGGTTGCGGGGTTTGCTGCGTCGGCAAACTTCGCACGAGTCGCAATACCGAGTGACATCGGTAATGAGGTCAGGCCATCGGAATCGCTGTCGAAGCCGTGCAATAGTGCGGTTGACTCCGAAATGGCCTGCGAGTCGTGAATCATGATACTCGCCGAGGAGGCGAGTCCGAAGACGACGGTCGTGTGGGACACACAGTAAATCCTTGCCTCTCGAGTGGAGGAGCAAGTACCCGTCGGCAATGTGGTAATGGCTGGCCGCCGGGTGATCCGAAGATAGCTGTGCATATAGCGTGACAAAGTCCGGATCCGACTGGTATGCCCGGATGAAGTGTCGCTGAAGCTCCTCGTCGAATGCGAAGGCATGATGTGTCATAGCGCAAAGATCAGGTCTTCGCGAGAGTGCATCTGCTGCGCAATTTGAGAGGCCGGGAAGATGTTTCGGTGTGAAGTCAAATTGGTCGATGAAGTACATCCATCGTCCGATCGTGCTGCTCACCGTATCTTGCGTCTTGTAGTAGGTCAATGGATTGTTGTCCGTAACCCATGTGAACCTACGACGCCCAAGGAGGAAGTGCCGCCATCGCTTGCGAGCCATGACGAACGCGAGTAGCTCCTTCTTCCTTGCATCATCAAGCGAGTTGATGGGAGACACTTTGTGGCTGAAATACTCCACAGGGTGCCAATCGTCGCCATCGTGCCGTTCCAAGACTGCCCCAATGCCATAGCCGGAAGCGTCCGTAGTCACTCTCGTCGGCAAGGTGGGGTCATAGATGCTAAGGACGGGTGCCATAAGCAKAGTCGTCTTAAGTGCTTGGAATGACCGGCGTGCGTCGTCATCGAATACGAATGGCACCTTTGGCGACTGTAACCTCGTCATAGGTGCAGCAATCCTGGAATATCCGATGATGAATCGCTGATAGTAGCCCGCCAATCCCATGAATGAACGAACATCCGTGGTGTTGGTGGGCTCGGGCCATACTCGTAGGGCCTCAATCTTGTCCGCAAGCGGACGGATGCCTTGCAGCGTCACATAGTGTCCCAAGTACTCCAGCTCCTGCCACGCGAATTCGCACTTGTCGCGGTTGGCTTTGTACTTGGCTTGTCGTAGCCGCTCCAAAACGGTGCGCATGTTACGGACTTCGCCAGGGCTCGATCCCTGGTCTATCTTTTGCTGTTTCGGCTGCATCCCGTTTTCGGCCTGGCACCCTTTTTCCAAACCCCTCCTTTGGT